TTTAGCAAAGAACTGTTGTTTACAGTGTATTGCAAGTAGGACAGAAGTACATAAATTTGAAAATGAACTTAAAAAAAATATAAATATATAAATACACACAAGATGATGACGGTTGAGGATATGTAGGAGAGATACAATTGAGAACGGGAATGGTTATATAGATATAGATATAAATAATAGATATAATTGAGGATGGGAAATATTAGAGGTCCAAGGAATAGGTTTTGAGTAGATCTTTGAAGGAAAAAAGGGACTGAGCAAGTCGAATATATAATGGCAAGGTATAAAGGTTGGGAATTAATTATACTTATACTTCTATATTATGCTATAGTTTCAAAATCCATCGAGGACTGAGTGGATGTACAAATACATTTGAAACGCTACGTAATTACACCAATGCTACGATACTACGACAGCTACGATGTTTTCTTGGCTGATGCTTCCACAAGCGTACAGATGTAATGGAAAACGATTTATTGAAGAAAGAGGATGAATGTGCTGGAATACGAAGTAAAAAATTGTTAGTGGAACGTAAATGACGATCGCGAGAGGAGGAAATGTATTCAAAGCGGTCTTTCAGGTAACATGGAGTGGAGAGATTGAACAGTATGCTGTATAAAGCTACGTTATGTGATTCGGTTAATTGGAAACTTCTATTAATGAGAAAATATTTGAAAATAAAGTACTTAGTAGATGTCTAAGGACCACAGCATCCACTTACCATCAGGTCGACTGTGCACTCGTTGATGATATCGATGTTGATGATGCCCAGCAGTGGATTGTGCGGGCTTAAAAAGAATGGTGAATAGGTGCAAGTGTCTATACAAAGCTTTTCGAATGTGTACAGCTGGTATTGATTTGTTTACTTACCGCTTTTCGAATCTAAGTATTCTTAATATGCACATTATGCTTAGATTTTCTAAGAACACTCAGATTAATGACGGACATCCACAACTTATTCCATCAAGGGCGGCGCCAGTTAAAAAGAGTTAGAGAGCAAAAGAGTTAGAGACAGATTAATTTTCATTGCGGGGAAGTTAATTTGTTCTAGAAATGTAAATTTATGTTTTTTGTTGTACATACCATTAGTTATATTTTTTATAGGATAAGGGTGGCAAACGAGCACACAGTCCCAGTGGCCCATAGACATCTACATTCGATTAAGAATCAAAAGGCTGATGCGTTGTCACCCCTGAGGACTAAGATGAAATGCCTCGATCCCAGTAAAAGGGGTCTCCGGTTCTCTACACTCACCCAACGAAACACAGCAGCATTAAGCTGCTAATTGACGATGGTTTTCTGTGAGAGCGTGGTCATTCCCCGGTCGAGTCGACCCATTCATGCTACAACGATACTATAGCTGCAGGGTGGCTGGCTCTACCACAAATATATTAATTAGATTAAAATAAATAATCCAAACCACAGATATTCATAAAAGTAGAAACATTAAAAAGAGTTGAATATGTGCAAATAATTAATGAGAAAACCAATGGGGGATTGTTTTGTGTATTAATATAATATTCTAGAAACTGATACATTTTATTTAAAACTAAATTCTCAATTAAATAACATTGTGTAATAAAAAAAAAAACTTCACCACAGTGTCAACTATAGACAACTGGTGTGCGATATATTATTAGCCCTCATTAAATCAGTTGTCAATATAAATTACGAGGTCCTCCTTTGACTACATTAACGTAATTTAGGCATACGATTGATATCATAATTTATAAAATTATAATAAAAACGATAACAGAGCATAATCTAAATCTCTTCGATGGCGATATCTGATATTAACAGTTTTATTGTCAATTATGGAATAATTGATAGATGCAAAAACAGAACGTGATGCTTTGTGTTTACATACCATTTATGTTATATAACAAATAAGAAACAGAAGATGGCCATAAGAGCGATCTATGATTTAAAACCTTAAGAATCTCTAAGACAACCGTTTAAGGGAGTTAATAATATATTAACTTTGGCCTCTCAATATATTGATGAAAATGTAACGTATGTACACAAAAATTTGAATAGTTAAAAAAATAAGCGATATATTTACCCTGTAAATACTAGGAACAGACAAAAGCTAATAGTAGCAGTTACTGGCTTCTCAGAATCAGTAATTCATCATTATTGAGGCGATATATTACACGCTTTTACAGCAAAATACCAGAAAATGTACAAAATTTGACTCATAACTGAATAAAAAGGGCTATTATAATATTAAGGAATTTATGGATGAAAATTTGAAAAATTCCCTAGGAATGAGGTAATCGTTACCAAGCTATGTCTTATTTCTTTTGTATTATTAAAACTTCCCAGGACATAATTCTTTGCCGAACCAGTAAAAATTAGACATAAATTACTACAGATTCGAAAAAGTTATTTATAACCTTTATTGAATAAAATTTTCCATTTTTAAATTCAAATATGCTTTGATATGGATTTTTGTACAGCAAGCCCTATTTGGCGCTCAAAAGCTTAACAATAAAGCTATTTTTTTTTTCAATGAAACTATGAGTAGTGATATTTTGCTGATTGAAATTGATGTTTGCATAGAGAAATAGTTCACTTTTTCTGACAAAACATATTCTGTTTATTCAGGTCTTTCATCCTAGAATTTAATTCGGCTTTTTGTTTGCTGTTTGACTTTGTCGCTTTTTGTTTAAATTGTTACTGTTGTACACGAAATATATCATCCAAATAATAAAAAACTGCGATTGCCAACCCGTCTGAAAAACCTGGCAACTATAGTTTGCCAAGCGAGACAGCTATAGCCAGGCGAGAGACCTAAAGTCTCCACTGGCGTATCGTCGGCAGGAAAAGGCTTTGTATCGGTATGTTTAAGATAGTCGAAACTGACTTTCCGCTATGCACTTTTAGGGAATTTGGCGGCCTGGTTTTAGACAACTCGGCAGCCTGGTTGAAAGCTTAAAAACATTGATCTTACAGCTGATATCCAGTATTTTGCGGTCTCGAGTGTCAATCTAGTATAGACAGAAAAAGGCTTGCACTTTTCAGCTTTGGCGCATCCATCATTAAACCATGAGCTAGTTTTACCACCGTCCTATGAGTCAACAAAGGTGATAACATACTCCACCGCTTTATGTATCTACCACATCGGTTCGCGCGACGGATTCGAATAACAAAAGCAGACTTTTAGCCATGGCCAGAATGAAAAAATGGCGCATCTTATCCCAATTTTCTAACATATGTCGCCACATTCGTCGGACGTCTCGAAAATACTAACCAGGTGAGGAATATGACGATACGAATTACACCAGACAGAGGTCAGAAATATTTATCCGAACGGAAAGTAACCTGTACGTTCAGATTCGGTACATTTATTGTGATACTTCATTTTATTTTTTACTACGCTCAAAAGTTTTATCAGTCTACTAACTAAACGAAATACTTATTTTACACGCTGAAAGTTCTCGTACGTATGGAATAAAAATTTGAAATGAAATTGGTTGCTCGATAAATGTTTTAGCAGAAAAAGGGAGATTTCATATCAAATATAGAGTCAATATAACGTTTACTCTTATAGTTACTCCTATTTATTGAATAAAACTAAATTTACGGAGTCACGGGGGACCATGGGTGTTGTAAAGCACCCAAAACGTCGGAAATTAAAAATAAGTAAAAGTAGTTAATCAAATGCGATAAAATCCGTAAATTTAGTTTTATTCAATGTGTAGTTTAGTTCGCGTAAATTTAAGGAAACTTCTGTTTATGATATAAATAACAGTTTACATACAGGTTAGGTAAGTTGCGGGTAACTCATTCACTCAGAGTCACTCTCACTCATACACACTTCTTTCTTTACCGTAATAACTGAGACTAGCATTGATAGCATAAATATATGTCAGGTATTTATAGGTAAAGATTAGAATGTTAATCATGCTAAGTATTAAAGTGATTAACAGTAAATAACTTACATTTGAACATCAACGGAACTAAATGCCTTAAATTTACTTTACTACTACCCAAAATTACTACTGTACTTACTCTAAATTAGGTTGAAATACTTGAATTTATTACTTTAGGTAGGACTTTCCTGCCTAGGGGTCCACCCTCCCAAGCAGCACGCAAGCTGTATTGAAGTTCGTTTTTATACCAGTAGCTGTAATTTGGATGTATATAGGCTGTATAAGCGCTGATACAGTTCTTATAAGTAAATAATTAGCACAAATTGTACAGCTTTATGCGGTAGTAGGGCTGTATAAGCATAAAAGAGGATGCATAAGAGCTGTATTATTGCTGCTATTTGGTGTGCAAATAAACTATTAGACTACAGGTATTGTCTAATAAGTAAATTTTGAAAACACCTCTTACCTAACTATGCCTCCAAAGTATTATTACCGGCTGTGAGGCATTCCAAATATGTATGTCCACAGAGGTGACAACGTTTCTGTAGCCGACTTAGTTTGAAGTTGGCTCCAGGTGTACTTGGACTGCAGTAGCTACTTACCACTGGATGGACTTTAAGTCCGTTTGTCAGTTTAGTTTTATTTACTTTAAAAGGTAGATTCGTCTGTTTAGTAGTATAGTTGTAGAGCGTCTCGACCGGGGAAGGACCACGCTCCCACTGAATACTAGTGTAATTATAGCTTAATGCTGCTGTGTTTCGTATTGTGAGTGTAGAGAACCGGCGAACCTTTTTACTGGAAAGGAGGCATTCCATCATAGTCCTCACGGGTGACAACGCGTCTGCATATCGATTGGTAACCGAGGAAAGATCTAGAAGTCTATGAGCCACAACAACCACTTAACATCAGGTAGACTGTGTGATCGTTTGTCACCCTTATCCTATAAAAAAACAAACGTCAATCATTAAAAAAAGGCAAGCACAAGTTCCACAATAGTTACACAATCACGTTACCGTTAACCGGACTTGTTTTTAATATTCATAACTAATTGAAAGGACTATTATAATAAACTTGCAACTTTAAGGTAAATGCCTAGAAATGTCAGCAAGCAAACAATCTCCTTACGTGATAGGGCACATTGACGATGGTCACTATATCGTCTTCTGTGTTTGGATATGAACTCGTAGAGTCGAATTCGAATTGCTCGCGTATTCTGTAGGTGATTGTGTCCTCTTCTAAGCTCTCTATTTCCCTGGTTTGATAAATTCTGAAAATAAATTGTTTAACCTATGAGTAAGGGACCGTGGTATCTGAGAGGCTTAGCACTCGCTATAAATTTCACAGTACGCGAGCAACCCGAGTTTGATCCTCGACGGCACCAATGAAATTATTAATTACAATTTTAAATGCTGATTTATCACGTGCTCGACGGTGAAGTTAATATCGTGGGGAAACCAGCATGTCTGAGAAACAAGAAAAAATATTTCAAAGACAAGTGAAGTACGCCAAAACGAATTGGGGCAGCGCGGCGGACTTTTCCTTGCCCCAACCTTCTCAGAAATGAGAGGAGGCCTGTGCCCAGTAGTCTGACGTATATAGGCTATAGCTTTAACTTTTTTTATGACGGACTAATCATCCCATTAACAGTTAGAAGGATCTGAAAAATAAGTCTGACAATTCAGTATACGATACACTCAATACTGAGATTAAGCCGCAATCAAAAATATTAATAGACAATTACAGACTATTATACAGATGCAACTATTAACTCATATGATTGTGTAAGTTCCTTGACCGTTTCTAATTTTTGATATAATAAGGTGGGTGTACCATGGAAGGCCACTCTAATAAATAGTTATAATTCCTTTATTTACTGGATAAATGAAACTAACAAATATTTAAGTAATACTTTGTTTTATTATATAATATATAAACCACTTTTTTACATTGCAGATTTAATCGATAATAATTGAACTTAAGTTTCATTGAACTCTTCGAAATGGCCTTGCTATAGGAACAAGGCTCCTTAGAAGGCCATTATAATAAATCAGTAATTTAACACTAAAGTTTAATAAAAAGCGATTAAATCTACAATAAAAAGAAATGGTTTATATGTTACGTAATAAAACAAAGTATTAAATATTTTTAGTTGCATTTATCCAGTAAATAAACGAATAATAACTGTTTATTTGTAGAGTGGCCTTTCATGGTACCCCTACCTTAACTTAACGTCGTCGATACCCGAAATCAATGAAGTGAGGGACCGTACTGCCAAAATAGTAGCGCGAGCGATTCGCCGCAGCGTCTGTGATTTTCAGTTCGATGGGTGTTTGTTTGTTTGAGAAGGAATTTGTCATCAAATGGCAATAACTACGAAATTTTAATAAGTGGCCTTCGAAGGAGCATGGCCTTCCGTGGTCCACCCACCTTATATTAAGTATCTCTCTTTATCAGCTGCTGTATGGGCCCTTCCCGTTTAACGAAGGACTTTCCATAATCGGCACGCTTATGCATACCACAATGTTACACTTTTGATGCTGCACCTAGTCAGTCTGAGTATTATTAGCATATAAATTTCATATATACAAATATGTATTACGGTCATCTATTTGATTTACCATATTGATAAAGAAATTTTGAGAAATATTTACTTGTAAATATAAGGACCCACTTCGGACACCACCGGTACGCCTCCAGCAAGCACTTCTTCTGTATTGGTTATGTTAAAAAGTCTAATAGTAAAGTTTAGAGCAACTGGAACTTCAATAAATCTTTCCAACTGTGTCGTATTATCTAACAATACTACCTCCTAAAATAAAAACATCAAAAAGGTTAAAAGTATACTTCTATTCTCTTTTTTCAAATTATTTTTAAACAACCAGTTTACAGTAGAGCTCGACATTTGAGTTTGTTATATATATATATATATATATATATATATATATTAAAAAAAATATATATACAAACACAAGAGAAATATATATATATATATATATATATATATATATATGTGTTTATATAGATACCAAAAATAGCTAACGCTACCTCTACACGCTCTGCGAGTTAAGGTGAGGAGAAGTTTGACAAGGCCATGCAAGCCGAAATTAATCAAGGAAGTATCCCTTTACACTCTATATCGCCGCATAATGGACATACGTGAAGTGATTACATTACTGCAGCAACTGTAAGGTCTTGCTTAAATGAAATTTATTAATGTATACCATAAGTACTTATAAAAAAGATTACAAATGTACCAAAAAGTTTAAAGGTTTGGACTGTGTGGGTCCAACAGAAATAGTCAAAATAATATAGAATAAATCGAGTAATTACATATAATAAATGCGAAAAAATAGATATTTTTAAGTTCTTGCATGTATTATAAGTGCTTATACTTATAATATATTAATACATACAGAAATGTTAATTAGTTTTTACTTACGTTTATAATTAGGTTTTCTATAACACCAGGAACTACAAAGAAGGTTACAACCGTGCTGGCAATCACCAACACTACACCTATTACTGTAGTAGTCACGCCGCACACAATGCCACACATCTTATTTATTTCTTATTATCAGTTACGATGTGTTGGTTTTGCACGAAGCAACTAACTCACGTATGAGGAATGATTATAAGACAACGATAATTGTATAAAACATTAAGACTTTCTTCGATAAATTAGCGGATTAATTAGGGTTCTCAAGTGAAAATCGAATATCCAGCTATATTGGCAGTCACCGAAAAGTTTAATATTGCTTTCAAAAAATGTATTTTCAAGATGAAATTTATAATCGCAAGATGTAAAATGTGCTTGCTTAATGAATGAACCGAATGCTTATATATGGAAAACAAAACCTACTAGGTGTACTGATACACGTAATGTTAACATAAAAAAAAAATATATATATATATATATATATATATATAAATTACGTGTCACGTTGTTTTTTCGCAATGGACTCCTAAACTACTTAACCGATTTTAATAAAATTTGTACACCGTGTGCAGTTCGGTCCAATTTGAGAGATAGGATAGTTTTTTTACTCATGAGCGACCCACAATATATATATTTTTCGAATTTAAGGATTTTTACAATGCGTCGTCGAAAAGGGCAGAACAACGTCTGCCTGGCAAGCTAGTGATTATATATTTTGCAAAAAAATTTACAGTACATTGTGCAAAATTACACAGAATCAATGTGATGGACACTTGTTTCATGAATCTTATAGAAAGACTATATATATTACATTACATATTACAAACCATTTTATACAATTTTTATACACAATTTTATACAACATATTAGAGTAAGGTTTCTGTGTTAGAAAAAAGATTATTTGCCAGTTTTTAATTTATAAAATAATTACAATGAGTGCAAATTAGATAAATTTTTCGTAGTATAATAAACAGTAAAATAGTGTGTAGAACTTCTATATATTCTGTTTTAGGAACAGTCAAAATCATACTTTTAAGAATCATACTTTAGGCAATTTGTAAGCACTAGTCTATTACAAACTGTTTTAAATTACCTATAAAGTTTTATCTTAAGGTGATACCTCGAAAATTTGGTGGTTTTTCTATTTCACATAATTTTTTAAGTTTTATAGATAATGAGCCAAATTTTTGGTATATGATTTTTGACTATATGACCTTGGATTTCAGAAAAGGAAAACACGATAATATTATGTAATTTACTCGATAGAAAAAAAATCTAAGTATGTTCAAAATAGTTACATTTCTCCATGACACCACTATATTTTTACGAATAAGTTTGCGGAATTATTTTTAAGGCATAATAAATAATATTATTTAAGTTATTATAAACCATTTTTTGATTCATAACAAAGTTTTGTTAAATAAAATAAAAATATTGTTTGGCGCTTACTTAGTTTTTTTCTGAGTTTATTTTTTTATAGGATATGGTGTTAAACGAGCATACAATTCACCTGATGGTAAGTGGTTGCTGTGGCCATCTACATCAAAATGCAGATGCGTTGTCACCCGTAAGGACTAAGATGGAATGCCTCGTTTCCAGTAAAAAGGGTCTCCGGTTCTCTCACCATACGAAACACAGCAGCATTTAGCTACCATTTTACGCTGGTATTCTGTGAGAGCGTGGTCCTTCCCCGGTCGAGCCGACCCATTCGTGGTACAACTGGCTCTACCACTTATAAATGTGTGCGTAAAGTGCGTGCTCGGTATAGCTATCTCAGAATTTACGTATTATGAAGTCATTGCATCACTTTCATTTTGACACTCCCCCAGTCGCTCGTGTGCTTCACCGAGAAAGGCATAATAAACCAGGCCCCAAAACTACGTATTATTTTCAAGGTATCCTCTTAATACTTTTATTAGTGTTGTAGTATATCAATATTACAACACTTGTACACGATTTAATCATTTTTACCTTCATCAGCCCATAGACGTTCACTACTGTACCTGGGTCGCTCCCGATGTAAGGAGGATTTGCCGAGGATTATGCAGTTCTTTCTAATCGTGACACTTGGCGGGCGGATTCGACCGCAGGACCAGACGCTGCAGCTGATACGCCGGATAACGTACTAAAATAAAAGGTATATCTAATAATCTAACATGCTACGATATAATATTTCACTGTACTGAACCCTGGAAATAATAAATGTAAATAAGATAAGATATATTGATTCGCCAATTATTATTTTTCAGATAAGCATACAAGATGATCAGGGAGGTACTGTTATTAAACATGATTGTACTTTTTATGAGCTGCATTTTAAATCGAAAAGAGATGACTGCTGAAATTTTTTGTTATCAAATTGGCAAAACATTGTCAAAAGCCCATGCTACACATGAAACATAAGACCGCACAATACTATCACATTTTAAACTATCAATTGGCGGAAAGACAGGAAATTTATCGCATATGATAAGAGTTTATTTCATGCGACTTTGTGTCACCATCATCAGTCGTAATGACGTTAAAAACGAAATCAAAGCGTATTTCACTTGAAACTTGACAAGGTGCAAGTTTGCATAACATGGAATACTGTTCCCATCTCTGGACCGGGGATACCTTCTACTTGACCACATCCAGCGAAGAGTGGTCCGAATCGTCGACAATCAAGCTCTTTCTGATCGGCTTGAGACACTTGCGCCGTAAAGAGATGCTGCATATTCTATCGCATCCAGCACGAGGAATGCTATGGCATTGTTTGATCTTATTCTAGCCGCTAAATTTCATAGTCCCACAACACAATAAACTTTGCGATATCATCTGGACCACAACTGTGTGATTTACGAGAAGTTTTCTTCCTAATTCACAAATTGTAGAATCGGTTACTACTAGCGATGTTCCCAAGACGATATGACGTAGGAACCTACAAAAAACAGCCAGGTGTTGCTGGGTTATTTATAGGCAACTGTAGTCACTTACCATCCGGTCAAGAGGCAGCGTGGCTGTTTGCTTTTCTTAGTGCCTCCTAAGAAATGGTGGCATTTTTATCATAATTAAAAAAATGTACCTCCTCTTTTTTAAAGTTACCTTAAAATCTTTTATTTAAATTCAGTAGTTCTCTAGAAACCGAAACAAACTTTTTTATACCATATAGATTATCATCATCATTAGAGCCCTTCACAAGTCCACTGCTGAACATAGGCCTCTCCCAAGGAAAGCCTCAAAGCACGGTGCTGAGCCACCTGCATCCATCGATTTCCTGCATGTCTTACCAGGTCGTCACTCCATCTAGTGGGGGGTCGCCTTACACTACGCCTACCAGTACGAGGCAGCCACTCGGGAATTTTTTTTCCCCAACGGTTGTCGGTTATTCAAGCTATATGATCAGCCCATTGCCACTTCAGCTTACTAATCCGTTAGGCTATGATATAAGATATATATTATAAATAATACTTATTGAAAGTTACTCTGTCGCTACACTCGCGCACTCGCGCTAACACTTCACATTAAATTAAACAAAGTTTACGAATTTTTAATTTTTAATATTAATTATATTTTTATTTTTGTTTTGTTTTAGGTGATTAATAGCACCCATGTTTACGAGGGAGATTGAGATGTTTGACTTCTCGATGTCAGATTTGGCCCGGCTACGAGTACCTTCAGTTTTTGAATATTAGTTTAATTTATTTTGGATATAAAGTTATTTAATAATATAACTGAAGGTAAAACCGGAAAAGATTAAACGCGATAAAATCCGTAAAATTAAATTCATATAATAGATTTATAATCATGATTAAAACTACTTTTACGGATTTTATCGCGTTTAATCTTTTCCGGTTTTACCTTTTGGGACATCAGTCCCCCGTGACCATGGGTGCTGGAAAGCGCCCGAAACGTCGCGAATTAAAAATAAAAGTAAATAAAAAGTAAAAATAAACGCGATAAAATCCGTAAAAGTAGTTTTAATCATGTATAGTGTTCGCGTAAATATAAGAAATCATTAGATTTATAATCATTTAATATTTGTTTTGTTATAAAGCTAATACTCGTAACCTAGCCGTCGCCGCTTATCTGATAGGATATCAATCCAATACGAGTATGTACAATATGTAAGTGCTACGGATTGTAACGTAACTATTGTATTACGTTATAAAGCTAATAACCTAGCCGTCGCCGCTTATCTGATAGAATATCAATCCAATATGTACAATATGTAAGTGCTACGGATTGTAACGAAACTATTGTATTACGTGATAAGTGATGTGCATCAAAGGTATACAGGTCGTAGAACGTAGACAATAGAGGTTACGACAATACACACAAATACGATAAATACGATAGTTAGCATGTCCATGATTCCGTTTTATGATTTTTGTTAAACAAGCAAATGATAACGTTTTTAGCAAGTAGAGGTAAAATATAAATATATCGAAATTTTTATGTTTTGACAAAGTTATTTATTGTAATTTTTTTATAGAATTAGAGTGACAAACGAGCACACAGTCCACTTGATGGTAAGTGGGTGCTGTGGCCCATGAACATCTACATTTAAACCCGATTAAGAATCAAAATGCAGATGCGTTGTCACACCCTAAGAACTAATATGGAATGGCTCGATTCCAGTAAAACGGGTCTCCGGTTCTCTACGGAGACCCCGTTCCTTACGAAGCACAGCTGTATCAAGCTGCTATTTTACACTGGTATTCTGTGAGAGCGTGGTCCTGTCACGGTCGAGCCGACCCTTTCCTGCTGCAGCCTGGCTCTATCACATATAAAAACACTCCACATACGCTCCTGTAAATATATATATATATATATATATATATTGTTTGAATCCCAGAAGTTTGCATCAGATTTGATAAACGACAATTTCTCGTGAATTCATGAGGGTATTGAAATTTAAAAAAATATCCTGATTTCAATAAAGAAGGCGGCTTTATAATACCACCTGCTTAGAATCCTTTTATTAATATGTAATTAAATCCACCCCCAAGAATACCACTGCAAAAATCCCAGTATGCTAACTTTGCGTAGATCGGATAAAACTAACTCCGAGTTATCGGGACCTCAAACACGGGTCTCCATAATTACGGGCGCTGCAAAGCACTCAAAACGACGGAAGT